ACAGCACTAATCAAATCAAAACTACAGAGAAAAGTTCGAATTATTTTCTTTGAGAAAAAAAAATTTGTTTTGCATCGACACAAATAGGATTTATTCTACATGTATAGGTTCTAAAATAAGGGATTTGGAGAACAAATTGGGGTTGTGTTAAAAAAATGTCCCTCTGAAAACCTTTTTGGGATAAATCTGGGTGAAAAGCCTTTTATGCTTTCTTTGTTTTCCCTTAACGCATCAAGAAAGAATCTAAAGGAAAAGTTTTCACATTTTTCTTAAATTACCAACCATTGTACCATTATAATACAAATCATTAATATCACTACCTACATATAAATGAAACCTTTCCAATATCTTTCTCAATCTTCAAGAGATGTTTCCGGAATCTTACAAATCCACCCATCGTAAGGTTTATATGAAAAGATAATATAATAGTAAGGGCTTCGTATTGAAAAATTACTCCGCCTATACTTTCGAAGGAAATCTCTTCGAACTAAGATTTCACCCGGTTTTCTTTATAGGGAACCCGAGGAACGTTGGAATCGTTGTTGAGGAACGAAGAGTACGCGCACCGTTTCGAGACCATGTTATCGATAAAGGCATTTTCCACTCGATGTACCACAAGTTGGGCTATGAGTTGACGAGGACTTCTACGACTCGCTCCTGTTCCGCACATTTCCAAGTCGAACGCATCTCGAATGTTGTAAACACCCCAATTTAATATGTACTCAACTCAACGCTAATATAAACGGAGCCTTTCTATAAGCGTTTTACCGGAAATATTTAAATATGATGAAATGATTTAAGTTTCAAGAGACTACTCAAAATCTAAAAAGTCGGCTCAAATTAGATGAATTTGTAAATATTATAGAAAGTTTTAGATTTTCGGATAGATCTGGTTGTTCGTCAAGTCGAAAATTGGATTACAGGCGATTACATGGGCGACAGCGGATGAATACGCATACCTCGCTGGGCAATTATATTTATGGAACGACCCGTTCGGTTAGAAATCGATAACAGGCTCGTTTTCGTGTAATATTCATGCCAACCTTATCCTGTGGAAAACTGTTATCCGTACATATCTTGCGAATGGGAACATAAATTTCTCACCGTAGAAGCTCAAAATTCGCGATGTAACGGCGTCACCGGTAAACCGAAGTTATCTTGTTATTAACGGCTTTATCGGGATTATTACGCATTCATTAGTCTGAAAGTATTACGTAGCGACCATGTTTAATGACCTAGTTCTTGTCAGATTTACAGTTGAATAACATAAAAACGATGTTCATTAGGCTTTGAAAAAATCTAAATTTTTTCATTAATGAGAATGTATACTATAATAGTGGATACTAATTAATTAGAATAAACACTAGAGTGAATTTCACTTAAGATGCAATATACAAAAATATATTTCCATAGAAACCAGGGCGTACCTACTTACTTTGTCCCACATAAAATGCAACATGTCAATATAATTTCAATTTAGGTTGTCGCGCGGCTAAACCCGATACTATCTAGTTCTAAATCTAGTGTTAGTTCTAGTTTTACACTAGCACTATAACTAGAACTAACACAAGACCTAGAACTAGAATCATTCGGGTTTAGCCGTCTTGAGAGACGTAAGGCTAAATCCGAATGTTTCTAGTTCTCGGTTTAGTGTTAGTTCTAGTTTTGCACTACCACTATCACTAGAACTAACACAAGACTTTTTCCAAGCAAAACTTTTCCTTTTCAAAACTACCCAATGTCTGTATCATTAAGCTATGTTGCATTTTATGTGGGGCAGTGCAAGTGTATAGTAATTTCGTAATTATGTTTTTGTAATTCGCGAGGGCAATGAAAGCTCTAACGGGTGCTGTAATGAGACTCCTTACAGCATCCGATGCTGTAATGAGATTTTAGTAACATTTTATGGAACCAGTTCAAGTTGGTGACATTGGGTCATTAATTTTTCTAGTTGTCAATGTGACAATTTTTGTCTATGGATGTTTAAACACGTTCTTAGCATC